TTTTTTTAAAAAAAAAATTGGCCCGTTTTCGCGAGGTTTGCAGAGTACAAAAACTTTTTTCCTTTCGGAAAGCTCTTTAACTGATTGATGAGAATTACATTGATCAAGTGCTGTGCCAGCAGAAACAAAGTCTTAGGTGCTGCAAATTGTCACCGATTTCCCTCTCCAGCACATGGATAAATACACCTGGAAACATCTATCTACCTACCTACCTACTCTCTCTCCTTACCTACCTATTGTATTTCTCCCCCTCTACCTACCTACTTTTTTTAAAAATTTGCCTCTTCAAAACCTTGGTGCGTCTTATACTCTGAAAAATACGGTATATGTCATCTGTCAAATAATCAATTCTACATATTGTAGATTGTAGAAATTTGGATATAATTGGCTGCTGCTGTGCTGTACAAAGATACTTTCTGTGTAGACAATTATTAGGAGTATCAATTTTTGATTGGATGGAGGTGCAGTCAGTCATGACTGTGCTCCTGCGTTTGAAGGGCTGTAACACATCAATCAGTGTTAACCCAATGTTAGAATTGATCATAAGGGTCTAAGGGCCAAATGTTTGTTAAATTGTTACTTTTTATGACTATTCTGGAAAAAAATGGCCTCTCAGTTAAGCAAATGGTTCATGCAGAGCTCAGCTAGCAAAACATTTGTAGACTATCCAGGAGGATAGCAATTCTTTAACATGCAGTTTTGTTCTTCAGGTCAAAATGTGGGTGCAACTGCTGATTCCCAGGATAGAAGATGGAAACAACTTTGGTGTTTCTATTCAGGTAAATTGAGTATTGAAGAGATAATTCTGGGAAATTATGCCTATGGATAAAGTACTATGGATGGAACTTTCTCTCCTTTTTTCATATAAAGTTTTTTATTTTTTCATTTTCATAACATATAACCACATGTATACTATTACGTAGCAAACATTGTATTATATTATTAAATGTTCACATCAATTTGCCTTACCATCAACTCCCAAAAACAATTAAACAATTATTGGCTCTTCTGCTTTCCATACACCATATTTGTACCTTATCCATCACTTTCTTCTCCCTCTCTCCTTCTCCCTACCTCCTTTCTTCATTCTATCGTCCTTCTCTTCTCTACTTTCCCTTCCTCTCTCCTTTTCCTCTCTCTCCTTTCCACTCCTTCTTTCTCTCCTCTTCCCCCTCCCCTATCCCTTTTTTCTTTCCTTACCTCTCTCCTCTACTTCACACTCTTCATCTCATTTACTTGTGTATTTCAGCTTCTGAGCAAGCTATATTTTATGTTGTTGGTATTTATAATTCTTTTTCAATATACACATTTAATTTTAACTTATATTTTCCTTCTTTTTTTAAAAGGGGGGGGGAAGTATGCATATATAGTAATAGTGTTTTTAAACCCATCCACCCCCAGCCTATTTTTGGCCGAGATGTAGACCTGGTTATAATTCCCAGCTATTATCATCATTATATTTATATCATTATGCATCCTTACACGCCCCAAATTTGTGATTCTGTCTTTAAATCTCAATAATTTCCCATTGTAAGTATATTTCATGTTCCCTCTCCATTTTTCCCTATCTTGGCTTAGGTTAACCTTAATTGTCTTTAAATAACAATCCTTATTATTCAATGTTCATTACAATTCCCTTAATCTACTATATAGAATAACAAGCGGTACACATCTCACTTTGTTCATCATTTTAAAAGTTCTATATATGTCCATGTTTCATATATTTTAACCCATGCTTAATTGTCCTTCTATTGTCATATTCAATCAATTAGCAACCCAGTTTAATTATCATGTATAAAAGTGAATCACAAACCTCTGCTTTACAATCTCCCCATATCATTTTCATATTTGTCCATATTCCATATGTTTTAACCTTTATTTAATTATCTTTCCATTATCATATTCAGTCAGTTAGCAACTCCATTTTATTGTCATATTTAGGAATAACCCCTTATCTTAGCTTTATATTTTCACATATAACAATTTCTAGTTTTCTGATTTTTTCCTAGTAAGTCTTTTGTCCCACTTCTCTATTTCTGCCTTCTCCCTTTTCTTTGTTTTGACACGTCCACCCTCTTCAATTTTCCCCAAACCTCTGTCAAAAAGATCTTTTATATTTCCCTTTGTTGGGGTATAACCTCCTATTTCAATTTTCCTTATGCCATGTCAACCTCCAAAACATCTTTTGTCTGCTTTTTATTCCCTTTTGTTGGGATAAATCCCCCCTTTACAATTTTCTCTATACCACTGTCGAACCTAATGAAGTTTTTTGTCTGCTTTTTATTTCCCACCGTTTCTATCCCTTCATTATCCCTCCCCCTTCTTCACTTCTTCCTTCAGTTCCTGTTTCTCTGAGTTCACAATTCTATTTAGACTTTCATGAGTTTCAGAGTTCTGGTCCACCTTAAATTTAGCTAGTTCAACTGATGTGGAGAAGAAGAGCGGCGGGAGCCATCTTAGTCTTTTGTTCTTCCTTAATGTCCAGTTCAAAATTGTAGTTAGTTATACAGTTCTTACTTCAAAGTTTTGGTCCACTTTAAATTTAGCTAATTCAGCTAATGTGAAGCAGAAGAGAAACAGGAGCCATCTTGATCTTTTGCAAAGAAAAAAACCGTTGTATTTTCCCATTTCTTGATTTTATTATTTTTCCCCCCTTGTTACCTTCCACCTCTCGTTGGTTATAGTTACTCAGAATATATTTATTGAAACAAACTTGCATACAGCCAAACCTGAGAATGTTTCTCTTCGCCATCTTCTTTTCCAAGTTCTGATTTATGGCAGTTGGTTAATTAAATCTTCCTGCACCAGCAAGATTAGGTTATCAATTTTCATTTAGAAAATAGTACTTTTTTCTTGATTTTTTTCCCCTGTATGCTCCTGCTCAGTTGCTTTGGCTTGAAGCCTGCTTCTTGTGCAGCCATGTTACCACGCTGTTGCTCCTACTCCGATTCAGAGAGGCAATCTCCGACCTGCGCAGAATCTGTTGACTCCCTCTGGGTCTGATGAGATGCTGCTCTTTCTTCAGTGGAGTGGGTGATGGGTTCTGATCCAAAAAGGATCTCGGAATTTGTTTGTCAGACAGGATTCATGTGAGGCTCTTCAGAGCTCACATCCCCCACGTCTGTTCAGCTGGAGAACTTCCGATCGACTGAATGGAACTTTCTCTTAATGGGGGAAGAACAAATCATTATTTAGAAGTTGACTGACTTGTAGGAAGTGTTTTCCCTGATATGACTGCTTTTGTCTGAAATGGTACAGGGTCTCCTGTCTGAGCAGAGGGTTGGACTAGAAGATCTTCAAGGTCACTTCCAACTATGTTATTGTGCTAAGCAGTGATGGTGAATCTTTTCGGCACCAAGTGCCGAAAAGGGAGTACTTAACGTGCGCTCATCTTGGCCGCAACCAGGAAGAGGAGCTACCCAGGGGGCATGCATGCATCAAAAAAAGAACATTTTGGTTCTTGACGCGCACATGCGCTCCGTCCAGGAGGTCATCCAGTTACAGCTGTGCATTCAAACGCACCGATCAGCTGGCTGTCGCCAGAAAACTGAAGACCAGCTCTTCCGATTTCCAGCACTGCTGTTTGCACAAAGGCCAGTTGATCATCACATGTGCAAGCATGCCAGAAACCCAGAAAATGAACAGGCGATGTTGCATGTGCCAGGAGATATCAGTTCAGTTCAGATATGGCTCTGGGTGCTACTTCAGGCATGCATGTCATAGGTTCGCCATCACAGTGCTAGTGTTTTATATTATTCTACTGCATTTTGATTATTTTTATTTCATTTGACTCAGGTTATTTAAATTGGAAGTTAGAAATCATAGGCATAATGCTGTGATCAGAGATAGTCCTTGCTTATCAACTGCCTCATTCAGAGACCATTTAAAATTGTGATAGTGCTGAAAAAAAATGTCCTATGACCATATCAATGACATTTGTTGTGTTCCTCAATCATATGATCACCATTATAATCAGTACACAATGTCCTGTATCTGGTCACCTCTTGTAGAGCAGAAAGATATTAGAGGAAGGAATTGGAAGAGAGTAAACAGGTACAAAATGGGGAATATATGCAAAAGGGATGTGATGGTACCAGTTTGAGGCTAGGATCCATAACCATGCTGTGCAATCACCCCATTGTATTTCTACCTATTTTCTTGTAATCCATCTCCCTATTTTCTTGTTCACCACTCTATGAGTGCAAAAATAGGTCAGGCATAGGACAGATTTGCATACCAAAATTGCCTGGTTTCCCATCCTCCTTTGCAGAGTAGAGAAATTGGAAAGGAAGGGATTATAGGAAAGTTTGCAGGCACATAATAGGCAATATACCAGGCTGTTTGCATGGTATCCCATGGCTCCCAGCCCTGGCACCAATGCATTGTTTTCAATGTCTATTTCCCATTATGTGTCTACTTTCTAGATGAGCATTCCAAAGGATAGAAAAGTTGTTGGGAAGCAAAGGAAAGCCTAGGATATGACACTGATAGGTCTTTTCAGCTTTGAGCCAGCAGGGATTGGGAAAAAGAAAAGAAAGCAAACCCAATTACAGGTAGTCCTTGACATAAGCACAGTCGAGCCCAAAATTTATGTTGCTAAGCGAAACAGTTAAGTGAGTTTTGTCCCATTTTATGATCTTTTTTGCCACAATTGTTAAGTGAATCACTGCAGTTGATCAGTTAGTAGCATGGTTAAGTCAATCTGGCTTCCTCATTGACTTTGTCAATGTTGACAGAATGTTGTCAAGGTGATCAAGTGACCCCAGGACACCACAACTGTCATAAGTACAGGTCAATTGCCAAGCCCCTGAATTTTGATCACATGACTTAGGATGCTGCAACAGTTGTAAGTGTGAAAAATAGTCATAAGTCACTTTTTTCACTGCTGTTGTAACTTTGAATCATCACTATGTGAATGGTTGTAAGTCAAGGACTACCTGCACTTCATTTCCTATTTAGCAACCATTTCAATTAACAGAGTTGCAAGCCCCAGTTACTGTTGCTAAACCAAGTCTTGTATTCTACCTATAAATGCTGTCTGGATGTAGCCAATTATAATTATCCTCAGTTTGAAGTCTTCTCTTAATATTGCTAACTTCTTTATTTGCAGGAAGAGACTGTGGCGGAGCTCCGAACTGTGGAGAGTGAGGCAGCTTCATATTTAGACCAGATCTCTAGGTGAATATCTCCTTGCAGACCATTTCAAGTTTTTTCTAGATGGGTAACCCTCCAGAGTATATATTGTGTGTCACTTACACCACCCATTGTAGCACTTTCCCCCTTTTATTTCAGATACTACATCACACGAGCAAAGTTGGTTTCTAAAATAGCAAAATATCCTCATGTGGTAAGTGTTAAGTGGAGATATTAAATTGACTACTGAATTAGATTTAGGACCATTGGGTGGATTAGAAATAATTGAAAAGATTCTAGAGCATGTTTTCCTTGGGAATAACATTATGAATAAAATGCCTAGATCTATATTAGATAAAAAGTGGGAAGTCTCTAGAAACCCCTAGAAACAATTGTATTGCTGGATAACTATTTTCTCGAGATTTAGGGTAAAAGTATAAAATATTTTAAAACATGGTGATTAACTTTCTTAACTTGCAGCCCTTATCACTGGATGAAAAAAAAAGCCCTCCTTTCGCTTCCACAATTGGAAAAAGTTACCCAATCCTACCCTAAGTGCACATCCTTGCTTCAGATTTCCATTCTGAAGGTTTCACATAAGACTATTTTCTAATTAGAATTTAATTAATAATATTCCAGAAATGGTTGGTGTTCTGTTTATGAAAACCCTGAGAACATGACAGATTTTTGTACTGTTAAATCTGAGAGATGGAATGAAACTCCTTAGCTACAAGTTGTCTTAGTGCAGAGATGGGAAATCTGTACTATAGCTTCCAGCCATACAGTAATAATGAAAGATCCTAAAAATTCTTCACTCCTACTTGTTGCTTGGTAGGAACTACATCAAGGGTGTCAAGTTTGTATTGTCACTGTGTTGTCATGTGATGTATTGCAACTTTTAACTCCTTTGGTAAAGTGGGCATGGCCAGCATGTGATGCATCCAGCCCACAGGCAGCAAGTTTGGCAGCCCTGGATTAAATGGTTCTGATTAAATAACTGTCTCTGTAGGAAGATTATCGCCGCACAGTGACTGAAATGGATGAAAAAGAATACATCAGTCTCCGCCTCATCATTTCAGAGCTCAGAAATCAATATGTAAGTTACTGTTATTTCTTCCCAAGTTGGAAGATAATATCCCTTTTCCTAATGAATTAAGAGTTTCCTGTCACAAAAGTAGGTAAGAGTCTTTTGACCTCTGTGTGTTGCTGAATTCAACTCGTATAACTCCTAGCTACCATAGTCAAGTGAGAAGTATTGGAAGTTGCAAATAAATAGTATGTTGAGTACTGTATTTTTGTGCTGTTGTTTTAGATTATTTATTTAGATTTATCATTTGTCCAGCAGAAGCAAATAGCAATTAACTTCTTGTTGAAAGAAATATGGTGATATATCCTTTCTAAGGAATAATTCTAATATAAGCAAGCTAGTGAGTAACAAATTGCATAGATACTGGAAGCCTTAAGAAAGAGATTGAAATTATTTGTGGGGGGAAAATAAATACTTTTTAGTCTATAATTCAACTGTGTATGAAATTGTGGTTGCTGCCCATCTTAGAATAATAGTCAGTATTGTCCAAACCATTGAAATATTGAGAAATACAGTAAAATATATGCTGGTTAACAGATAAAACAAATCTTTGGATATCTTTTAACAAAACAAGAAAAGACAAAGAAATAAAAAGTAAAACATTTCTGTGTAATGTGTTGTATTAAAGAAACATAAACAGATATTTAAGCGCAGTCCCCATGTAATTGGCTTTGTGGCTCCATATAATTGTGCAGGCTTCTTGATTGTAGAACAGTCCCACTGCTTATTTAAGGAATCACCCTCAGATAACATGAAACTTTCCAATCTGTTTGGATTTGCAAATACCAGACAAGTGCTTAAGTGATACTGATTTAATTTCTATTCATATCTAGCATTGATCAGTCTGAATAACTACTCAGACTGATCAATGCTAGATATGAATAGAAATGAAGAATGTAATGAAAATGAAATAGAAATGAAGAATGTAATGAAAAATAAGAATAGAATAATTGATACTTTTGCTTCCTTAGTTAATAATTAGATCACCTATTTTAAGCATATCCTATGCCTTTTTTGCAGGGGGGGACATAAAAATGGGAAATATAACTCTATTCACATAATATGTAGAATTTATAGACTGGGCACACATAACATTCTAAACCTAATTCAAACCAGACTGTGTTATGTAACCCAAGGCTATTATGGCTTCTTCCACAAACTAAATTTAAACAAAGTGGCATAACATAGTTTCTGAACCAGGGCATAACGATAAAAACATGATCAATTAGCTATGCTACTTTTACAGATTTTTTAAAAAGAAATTCCCTGGTTTATTTGGACATTTTACATGTTTTATGTTATATTGAGAAAAGTACAATGAATTAAAATTGCTTCAGATCTAAAATTAATTAAATGTGAAAAGTCTCCTGCAGCAACCTAATTGAGGGTCTACAAATTGTGGTGAGAAATATTGGAAATGTGATCACTTCCTTTTTTGAACTCCTTAATAACCGAGCACAACACATAAAGAAAACCTTCTAACAGAAACCTTTCTTTTTCTTTCTCAGTGAAAGAAATATTGAAATTGTTTTCAAAAAACTAAAGAGTGTACATATACAGAACCCAAGTGTACCTAAATACTAACTCTAGTTTATTAATAAAATCATCAGTAATGTGAAATTTAAGTACATTTCTCTCAAATAAGGCTTTTGAAATGCTTATCTTCTTATTGCTGTTTAATGTTTTCATTTATATATTTAAATTTATTGGCCACCCAATCCCAGTGGAGTCTGGATTGCATATAAATTTTTTTTAAAAGTGTACAAAACAGTTAAAGATATTAAATGTTCTAATAAAATCCACAAAACAAATGGGCCTTTAAACAAACAACAAGAGAAACCCATCAGCCCCTTGGGTCAAAGCCAGTTTTTCAAGCCTTTCCAGAACCCTAGAAGAAAGCGTGCCATGCTTATGTCTGAGGGATGCGATTCCAGCATGGTGGGGGTACAACAGAGAAGGTACACTTCCTAGATCCCATAAGATGGCAAGATTTAATAGAGGGGTCCTGGAACACACCCATTTTGCTGGATCTTAACTGATGAGCAGGAATTAGTATCTTAGGTAATCAGGCCCTACGTAATGTAGGACTTTTTAGATAATAATCAGAACCTTGAATTGCACTCTTAAGCCAACTGATAGCCATTGCTGCTCATATAGCATTGGTGACACATTACCACACCGACAGCCTTAGAGATCTTTCTTCATGTGGCACAGTTACAACCAGGAGTTTAAAAGCTTTCATTTAAACTGTGGGCAAGTGACATAAGTCATTAGCACTGGTCAATAGCAGCTAATACTTTTTTAACAATTGAAAGAAAAAACATATTTAATCATGGGCTGTGCAGCTAATTTATACTATTGTGTTGTGTTCACTTCAGTATTTCTTCCATATACTGTACTATAGGAGTAGCTAATGGAAATGCAATTCCAAATTTCTCATTTGTAAACCTGACAGGTCTTTTGACAACTTGTTCTCAATCATAGTTATCGTGATGTGTTAAAGTGATGAAAATAAAGGTGACACTATGAAGATTAGTCATTATGATAGACAGGAGTGGCACTACGTACTTCCATGTTGTTGGATTGGTAGTTCCCTCCAGATCTACTGGAATAAAATTTCAAAATTGTAACTGATGGCAGGACTGTTCTTTGAGATTCTTGTCTGGAACATTAGTGTCTGCCAAAGAAATGCTTTTCATTTATTAAAAATATTGGGAAATGGAGAAGAAAATGGCAAATGACAATACTGACTGAAAATTTTGGGAGATGAAATCTGATGACTTTTGTTAAGTATCGGACTAGGAAAGGCTATGTTACTGTAACATTGATTAATTTGAAGGTAGGATATTCTCTTTATTTCAGCTTCAATCTTGTGGTATTGCACTCTTGGTAGTGGCAATTTATATTTACAACTACAACGGCATTCATGATTCAGGTCAACACTTCAAATGCAAGCCTATTGAAAAAGAATCCTCTATACCTAAAGAATCATCTATTCAATTGATAGTATCTTAGAAACATTTGTGGGAAACCCATGAGTCTATGAAATTGGTTTAATTTTAACTCAATAGTTCCCAAACAACCTTGCATTTATTGAAGTATAGAATGTTATGTTGTTGGCCAACAATTGTTCTGAGTTTCTCTGGAGAGAAATATGATACTCATGGCTAAACAAATATAAAACTAACAACCAGATTCTCTCCTTCCAGGTGACTCTGCATGACATGATTCTAAAGAATATTGAGAAGATCAAGCGACCCCGGAGCAGCAATGCAGAGACCCTCTACTGATCTGGCTACATTCTGAACTTATGAACTCTTCAGTAGGCTGAAAACAGTCTTTGCCTCAGTCTATGTGACTATCAGGATGGAAAAGCTGTTGGAAACAGTCCCCTCCATACTAAACATCTAAAGAAACTCGCCTAGTCCTTTTCTGGTTGGTTTTTTTATTGGATCTTTAAATTTCTCCCTTTTCCTACTATGTATTTGAGATATAGAAGGCTAGAACAGAGCATCTTCTCCTATATTGGTAGGAATGGGAGATTTGCCAAGCTGCTGCAGGCAAGGATCCCGAGATCAGAAGCCCTAAATGATCCAGATCTAGCATCCCTGACAAATTGCTTCCCAGGTAGGTTGTCCCTGCCAAAAGCATTGTTGACCTACTCAGAGCTGATGTTTCTAGTCATAAGCTTCACTTCAGTCTTCCCACTGAAACTCAGTTTTTCATCTCAACATGGTTTGCCCTTATCTAATTTGTCCAATCATGCAAGTTCTAATGCCACTGTAAATTTCTCCTTTCTACACGTACTTCTTCCATTACTTTTATTTTATCATTCTGAATACACACACACACACCACACACACAATCTTCCAGACGTTTATGAGAAAGTAAATCTACTCTTGCCTAACAAGGAACTCTAGCACAGCATTTGAGTGCGGTGGGCATTCTCACTTTTTTTTTTCCTTGGGGTAAAGCAAACCTATTAGATAGTTTAGCAAAATTGATCTGCCAAATTTCAGCATGAACGATCAAACACGGTCAAGTATATTCATCTTAATCCTTTTTTCTTCAGTACTCTAATTAAATGTTTCTTGCCTCACTTTCAGGAATACCCAAAGTGTCCTAGGTGTCCTGCTAGGTCTGAATAAGTCCAGTTGGCTTCTTCCATTTTTCTCGTTCTGGTTTTCATGAGAACAGGAAGGGGATGCTGTCTATCTGGGATGCTGCAGTTTCTTTTCAGATTTACTATTTATCTTTATATCCACCTAGTGCCGTAGTCTTGTTAGTGGTGTTAGATTTGTTAAAAAATAGGCAACAGTGGCAGGATGAATGAAGTTTGTTGGCTGCTTCCCCTGCTTGTTTTAAAGAGATCTTTTGTCTGCCATCTCCCAAGTGCACAGGAGGTTCGTTCATTGCCCTGAACTCATTGCAGATGCTTCTGCATCACTGTCATTTGTAGCTGGACAAGCCATACCTTAGCCCGGTAAAAATTCACATAACAACTGCCCTCACCACCTGCTCCTGAGAGCAGCCTTCCCTGCTTTTGTTTCCTTGTATCAGCTGCTTTGTTGGATTGTTTATATTTCCTTGCTACATTGAACCTATGTACAACTTCTATTATGCCAACAAATTAAAAGTAACAGGAACTTTGAATCTATCTTTAATCACCCTCATAGATGCCAGCGCACTGGTAACCAAGATTTCTGTGTGTATTCATTTGATTTTTGCCCTTTATTATTCTTATCTCAGCCCTGTTAGTGGGAAAGAGGTATAATTTTGAGTCCGTCTCCGATGAAGTTTGAAGACATCCTCATTTTATTTATTTTTTTGTAGTATACATTGAAACCTAGTTGGCTTCCAAGCTGAATGAATATTGTTCATTCAGAATGTACTTAAGCAGGAGTAAACTGCTTGCAATATCTGGTCTCATTTCATGCAGCTTGACATTGAACGTCTTTTACAATCAATCAATTTATTTCTCTAGCAAAAGCAATGAATCCTTGATCTGTGTCTTCTTTGTAAGGGGGAAAAGAGAGAATGCATTGGAATAAGGAAAGGGGTGAAAAAGAGGAATTCCGGAAAGAATAAATGCAAACTGGCTAAATGGGTCAGTTGTTTTAGCTCTGTCCATCTCGGCATATGATGCAGCCTAGACTGATTACTTCTAGAGAAACATGGCCTTCCACGGAAACAGAAAAAAATGCCTCCCTCTATGTTATGATAGTCAATAAACCATAAGAAACAGAATTTCATCATAAAAGAGGAAAGGAGCAAAGCCTCAGATACATATATTGCAATCTTTATATGTGAATTGATAGTGTTGGTTAGTAATGAATAGTGCCAGAGTGTGTTTTCTTAAATAAAACATGTATCTCTCTACTATTGGCCCATTCAGTCATGCTGTTCCATACTCGTTGCTAACTTTTCCTGAACTGAAGTTGAAGAGCACTAGCTTTGCAGATCCAGTGCATTTCATTCAGTTCTCAACTAAAATGTTGTATTATGAATTTGAATACTTAAAGCTTATAGAACTATAGCCTTCCAACATTCACCACCACAGACCAGGGAAGAACATGCTAGAGAGATGAATAAAAATGTTCTTGGTGTGGAAAATCTGACTTATCCAATGCAGGTAAGTAATTACAGATTCTAGAGACATCAAAAGGAGTGTATGTTTAAGTGAAGATACAGACGAGTTCATGCTAGGTGTGGGAGAAATCCCTCTCATCTAATTGGGCACTAAAGGACCAGAAAAACATAGATAAGGTAACTCAAAGCTCTGAGGTTCCAGTTTAGTGAATTCTGCAGCTCTTCATAAGGATCACTCTATGATATCACTCAATGCTTTCTTCCTATTCCCAATTAATTATTATACTGCTGAATGAAATGAGCGCAAGCATAAATTCCTTTTCACACTCTTAAGGTGCAAGAAGAATCCAGTAATATGATAGACAAGCAAAGTTTAGCATAGTAAAGATGAGTCAGCAAGTGTGTGGCTGAAATAGACCTAGCTACAAAAAGCTCTCTTTCCCATAGGAACAAACACCTGTGTTGCCTAGAAGGTATATAGAATATTTGACTCCACATAAGAATAGCAACTTCTCTTCAAGCCTCTTCCATGAAATTCAATTTTTCTGCTGAACTATCCACTGTTTGGAAATACTCATATTCTGTATATTGTCAGAGCAATGATCAAATACATTGTTTTAAAGCAAGGTACAGTTGTATGCAAAAATTTAGGCATTCCTGGTCAAATTCTTAATTGCATAAAAGATGGTGCAAGTTCTACATAGTGTAGAATAAAACAGGACATCTTTTTGTACCTTTGGAAGCTTTTTAATGTGCAGCTTGCAAATTCAGAATGACAGAACAGTGAATAGATGCAAAATATGATAGCAAAAGTTTGCTCACCTTGGTATTCAAAGCATTTGGCAGAAATGCAATTTCCAAATGCTTCCCATAGATAGCTAATATTGTTTTAGGATTCATGCGCATACACATTTTTTCTTGTAGAGATTTTCTCAGAAATATTAAGCCGCCTATAAATAATACAGTCAGATTTGTAGGAAGGTGTCATTTGCCTTTTTATCATACAAAGATTTTATTTCTGTTCATTTTGCAATTCATTAAAATGCACAAAATGACCAGGGATGCATTTACATATAATGGTATATTCCTAATGATAGCAAAGTGATCCTTACATCAGAATTGACACAATTCAACCTGATCTATAGTACTGCAACCTTGAATGTGTTCTTTTAATGGTATTGGTTAGATTTTGCTTTTTTCTTTTTGTGAAGTTTTTTTCTCAGGGATTGTCACACTACTGAATGGGCTGATAATTTAAATTCTTAGAATATAAATTCCTGTGGGGGTTATAGTTTATTGGTTTGGTTTTATAGGATGCAGTTGAAGGGAAGAAAAATACGGGTAACAAGAGGAAGGAAAGTGCAGAATCTGGACTATTTTTCTGTGTAAGTATGTTTAGTGAATAGCTTTTCTTAGGTCAGACAATCCCTAGAACTCATCCCATGATATTAGTAGTATCCCTTTTTCACAACAAGGGTTGCAGAGCTTGCTCTAAAACAGTTTGCCATCATAAATCAGATGGATGCAGTACTTCTAACATGCAATCAGAAACACCAAGTTTGTTTTTCCTTCACTTCCACTGTATCCACTTGTAGGTGCTATATAAGTCATGTTGGTAACAGTTGGCACAGGATAAAAAGGTAGAGTTCATTTTTTTATGTGGTATAACTCTTAGGGCAAAATATACATGCCTGTATCCAAACTCCAAGTTGAATTGTCAGTTTACACAGGCTTATTGTGAGGCTTCTAATTTGATCTAGCTGTGAGTTGTACATATACTAACCAATTAAAGTATAGTGAGAAAGAAGAGAATATGCCCATTTTATAAATACCTCCTAACCCTCCCACAACTATCAAAAGAGCAGCATTTTGCTTCTTAAATTTCTTTTCATATCTGATTTTACTTCTTATTCCAGTAGTGGGTGAGTGTAAAGTGATCATGTTTAGAGTGATTCTTGCCTTTTGGGGAAAAATCAACATCAAAAATTCCCAGCTGATTAAGGGGAACAGTATATTTAGTGTAAAATCTGCTCTAGTCTTGACTCTACACAGACGGTAGTAAGTCTGAGATCTTCAAATTCCATTCATGCTTTGAGTTGAGATTTATCTGACTTGTCTTGGCTCAAGTTCTTCCTCCTCTTCCTCAAGGCTAATTTCACAGCTCATTATAGCTTGTTCTAATGGTATCTGTTGAGGGGAAGCACTGTTGAAGGAGTAAGTCTATGATTTGGGTTTTATCCTGGATTTAACAGCTCTGTAGGAACAGCTGATGGCAATAGCCAAGAGGCCTTTACCCAGTTCTATCTGGTTCACTAATTGCACTCTACCTAGGAAAAGTAAATAATAGTGACTCATGCCATCATCACCACTTGAACTACTGCAGTACCTATTTCAGGCTGCCTTTAAAGCAGATGTTAAATCTATCTTAAAGTACTATTGCTTGTATGTTTGCTCTACTGCTCATTAGAGCGAAAGAACATGCTTAAGTTGTGAATCTGGACTGGTTACCAGTAGGCTTTCAGGTACATTTAAAGTGCTGGTTTTTACTTTATTTATTTATTTATTTTTATGGCATACTTTCAGGATTCTTACAGTAGAGCTGGTTCAACCAATTTAATTTTACTGAGAACTGCTAGTGATTCTCCATTTTTTAAGAGGCCAAAACTCAAAGATAAATGCTTTTCAGTAGTCGTACTACTCCCCTGGAACACACAAACACGCACACAGTCTTCAAATTTGATTGCCTTCTGGAAGAAGCTAAAAATGAACTAGAGGGCTGTCTGGGATATGATTGTATCTGTAGTGGTATGTTAATGGCTGCTCGACTATTATACCATGTTGCAGGTTTTATGTTTTTATGTAAATTAGCAAATGTTGATGGGGGCCTAAGAATCCTCCAAGACTACAGCAAGAGATTGTGTGCATCTGCCTGTTTTGTCTTTACCCCTCATCCTAGCACAAATTCCTGCTCAGTTGTAAACATTTGATCTGAGGGTAAATTAGCCTTTTGTCAACACTGGAAATTCTCAATAAAATTACAATTCTTTTATAGAGGAAATTGTTACTTGTTTCAGTGATTTCAAATATGAGTTTCTCAAATAATCTGATTCCATGAGCAAATGAATTGGATATCCAGGACTGAGGCACTGAAGAGCCTCCACATTTTGAAGTCCTTGTCCTTTCAAGAGAGCTTTTTTACATTACTGTGGCAGATCTTTCCAACAGGTTTCTCTGAGGTATTAACTGTTCCCTTTGAGTCTAGGATAACTCACCACAGCCAACTTGCTATAGGACTTCTCTCCACAGGACAGAGGTTACACTAATATTGAAAAAAAGTGGAATAGAATCATTAAAGGATGCAAATAAAGGACAAAATGAAATGTGAATGACAATTAAAATAATGTTTTAATTATTTTAAATGATTAAATCAAAATGTTGAATTGTCCTGCAATGAGTTGGCCTATGGTGAGTTATCCCATTCCAAACCTAAATGTTTACATACAACAAGTCTATTTGCCTGTTTCTATAATGTGTGAACAAGTATTCCCTTTGCTATCTACTTTTTCCAATCAGCGAGGGATTTAATTTGTTTCTGCTGGAAGGAAGATTTAAAAAAACAGTGCTTGTGTAGTTTTGTACAACATAGAAGTTGCTTGCCTGGGTGACAGTGAAGACAGATGAAGAATCAATATATACAAAAGGGGGTCCTTATTTTATAAGCAACTAGCTTTAAATAGGGGCTCTTAATTCAATTAATATT